TCCCGATGCGGTCCTCATGGGACACCGGAAGGGCATTGTTCTGGACTGTTGCGAAATTCGGACAATACACGAATAGTCTGTGTAAGCCGCCCGGATATCCGGATTCTACTCTCTCCTGTCACTTATAGTTAGTAACCTTTTACCTCTACATCAGAAATCTTAAAAAGTGAGCAGAAAGGGGAGCTTTCTGCTCACTTTTTAAGGAGCAACTAAGAGGGAATCACATGGCTCGATAAAGCTTAGGTAGAAGGAAGAACACTAAGATTAATAATTTTTTGTATTTTTAAGATTTTTTTTTTATATTTTATAATTTATTTTGGTACTTTATAATTTTTATACACATTAAAACATTAAAGGGAAAGCGATTTCAGATTAATAGGCTTCTTGGCAAGGACGTCAAGTCTAAAGTGCAGTTAAGTCATAATAAAATATCCAGGGCAAGAAGGAGGAATCAGTTGCCAGGAAATATCCAGGGCAGAATTTAATTCTGCGGGTTTGATGTGATTCATAAAGTGAACAGCCTGATAAGCATGCTTAGATGCCTCTTTTCAAGTGTTGAAGTCCTCGATGGTAATGAGAAGCAAAATTAGCGTTTTAAATTTGAAGCTAGAGCTCCGGGGAAAGGCGACCATCATCGGCGGCATGACTACAGGAACTCAAGTGGAGGGGGTTTACCGTTTACTTTGGTGGATTCTCAGGCGTAAAACGGCTATAGATTTTACCTGTAATGTGGTTTGCGCTCCAAGACCATTGACGGTACTTATTAAAATTACTATTGCGCTAAGGGAAATACATCCAGTAAAACAAACATGTGAACATAGAAGTCACACTCCAAGTTCCAAGTTACGCTGTTTAGCTGCGAAAATCATACAGATAGCACGACTTTTTCCGGTTCGTATGGGATAGTGACACGGAATCACATGACAATATTGATTCCTAAACCGTGGTTCTCGAAGAGAGAGAGAGAGGCGATGAAGGGAGCCCCATGGACGGGACGTCGTGTCATAGCAATTGAGAAGTTTCCGTATTCTAGGCCAATGATGGATCGAGTTCTTTTTTGTGAACTGCGAACAGCAGGGGCAATCAAATTTTGACTAAGTTTCTTAATTAAAACATGCGATGGGTTTAATATGGAACTCCAAATGAATCACATCATTACGGACATACCGGGCTGCGCTGAGGACTAAACGTAGGGTCTTCACTCTGAAAGATTTGAATCTTATTGAATTTTAGCTGCGATATATCAGATGGTACACTCGTATAGAAAAGTTGGTCTGATGAGAGCAGTGGAGAAGAGCTTTGTTTCTAATAGGCAGATGGCTCTTTTGAGTTAAATGGGGGCATATTTCGGATCTGAGAGCTTTCGCATTATTGAGGGAAGAATCAATGTGAAGAATCGAGAGTAATTTTGAATCAAGTATCCCTCATAGATACTTGTAAGAGTTTAACCAGGAAAAACTTTAAATTAATATTGGAGTACGGAAGGGGTAATCTGGAAAAAATCATGGCACCACATGTAGCGACATTAATTTTGATTTCCAAGTAATGAGCCAGTGCTCAAAGGCAGGACAAATAACTCTGACTATTGTGAACTAGACTTTCTAAGTGTTTGTTTTGCGACAGGTTGGCCGTGTCACCTGCATAAAGTGTGAGAGAGACACCAGGTGGATTTGGGAAGTCTTTGACGAAAATGTTGAACAAGGAAAAAGTAGTAGACTGCTTAGTAAACTCACTGCTTAGGATTGGACCGGGTGAAAAAATGATAGAATTAACTTGTTACGGGGAAAGAACGATTAGTGAATTACGAGTTAATTATGTGAATAGATTGGGCCGAAACTTCAAGTCACGTTAGCTTGATTATAATACCTGAATGCCAAGTGCTATCGAATGCTTTGGCGATATCAAGAAAACGTGCTCCTGTAAGCATTTTGCTAAGAAACGTTTAGTGAATAAAATCCCCTGTCCTGAGATGTTGGTGCTTTGTGCAATGTATTTTTCACATGGCATCTCCGAGTTCCTGGGAATACGGAGGTGCTATCGCTGCCAGCAGTATGGCCACAGTCAGGACTCTTGCAAAGCTAAAAAGGTCTACTGCGGTTTCTGCGCTGGCAACCACGCCACAAGAGAATGCACAGCCAAGCACCCATCCTGTATTAATTGCGGAGACGCAAACCACAGGATGGGAACAAAATACAACTACAACCACCCCGCATATGCCCCAGAATGCTTCATCTACCAGAGGGAGGTCGTCCGAATCCGGGGAGCTACAGAATACTGAAGAGTACACCAGCGGCAACCAAATGATGCCAGACCGCAGAGATCAGGGAACAGCAGAGGCACGAATTAACAACGAGACAGTGACGGAGGAAACTCCAGTAAGAATACTGCAAATCAACATGCAACGAGCAAGAGCCTCTGTAGCACAGACAGTGCAGTATGCAGTAGCCAAGAATATAGACTTAATATTGGGCAAGAACCTTATGTAAGAGAAGGTATGGCAGCAGGTTTCCCGGTGAAATGGAATGTGTATCAGAAAGTAGACAAGGACAGTGCGCCGAGAGCCATAATAGTATGTTGCCGGACGGCCTGGTCCCCGATAATCATAAAGGCTGAACGTGATAACGTTGCAATACTAATAGAAGTGCAGTCCCTAATGCTAGCAGCTGCATCTTGCTACTCGCCACCAACCTCCGACATAGAACCCACAGTGAGATTTATGGAATATGTGGTCAACAAAGTAAAAGTCCCCTATCTACTCTTCGGCGGAGACTATAATGCCCATAACGTCACTTGGGGGTATAGAGACACAGACGCAAAGGGCAGGGAGCTTGAGGACTTCTTCGGTTCAAGGAACCTAGTAATTAATAATGCAGAAAATGCCCCACCCTCATTTGATAGAGGCTTTGCTCAGGGCTGGCCTGACCTTACAGTCACGTCACTTCAGGCAGCTTCAATACTAGCAGACTGGCAAGTGGTCGATCAGGAGAGCTTGAGTGACCCACAGGTTCATAACCTACACCCTGCAGCAAAGAAACTTCCATAACTAAAATCAAGCGTTATAATCTCCCCGGGAGAAAGCTCCCAGTCTTTACACGAACAGTCAGAAGGCAGTTGGAGAATCTCGAATCAGGATTGGAACAAGCGAGCACAATGGAGGAGCTGGAGGCCTTCTCAGTCACGCTGCAGGATGCACTGCAAGCGGCATGCGACCAAACCCTTCCAAAAAGGAAACCACAGAGACTGCAGGAATTGCACTGGTGGACCGGTGCCTTGCGAACACAACAGAGCAAATGTAGGGCCCTCAGACGAAAGCTAAAATCTGAGAGACGTGCACAAGTAGAGTCAGACACACTTGTCATCTTCAGGAGAGAGCGAGCGGTCTATAAGAAAATGATCATCATACAAGCGAAAGTACAATCATGGAGAGAGTTTTGCTCCACAACCAATGCAATATATGGCCTGCATCATAAGATAGCGACGGGGAAAGTTTTTAAGCCGTCACAGCTGCAAATCCCCTCGTCGCTAGATAGCAGCCAGGAGTATACGGCCGACACACTAAGAGAAATAATGGGCACGGTGTTCAGTCAGGACACTCAGGACCAGGAGACAGACGAGCAGGCAGCTCTTCGTGCAGAGGCAGCAGAACAACTAGAAACAGTTACAGACCCTGAATTTACAGCCCTGGAATTACATAGAGTACTGGCCAGTCTTCCCCGAAAGAAAGCCCCTGGAATCGACGGGATGGACTATGCAATAGTAAAGACTGTAATCAAGACCCATCCGAACTTCTTTCAAAAGTATTTTAACAAGCTTTTCACAATAGGACTCTTCCTCATGCCTTATAAAATAGGCCAAGTAATACTGTTTCTCAAAAAGAATCGTGATCCTTCACAAGCCTCCTCATTCCGCCCCATCTGCCTTCTTTCGGCGATGGGGAAGGTACTTGAAAAGCTTCTGATGAATAGACTGCGCCACCATCTGCATGTCACAAATTTTCTCAGTGATCACCAATATGGTTTTAGGACTGGGTCGTCGACAGTGCATGCCCTTTGTGACATCAAAGAGGCAATTCTTGAAAACAGACATAGCGGCCACCACACGGCGATGGTCAGTATTGACCTTAAGAACGCCTTCGACACGCTGTGGTGGCCGGCAATAAAATCAGCCCTGAGAAGATCTAAATGTCCTAATAATGTTTATGCAATGATAAGCAATTATCTGCAGGACAGGAGACTTTTAGCAGTACACAATGCCGGCATTATTGAAAAGACACAGACGAGAGGGTGTCCTCAGGGGTCGTGCGCCGGGCCACACCTTTGGAATCTTACTTTCAATGAAGTGCTTACTGCTCCATGGCCGGCGCACACCCGGATTTTCGCATATGCGGACGACGCCGCCCTGATAGTAAAGGGCTCAACACGAAGGGAATTGCAACGTAATTGTAACGAAGTGTGCACTCTCTTTCAAGAGCGGTGCAATAAACTGAAACTGATTATTGCAGAACAAAAGTCAAAAGTTCTTCTCATCCCCAAAAAAGGAGGCTCCCTAGTACGCAGGCCCGCCCACAATAAAAATTAATGGAGAGCGGATAAAGATAGTGTCAGAACTCAGATATCTTGGCGTCATTTTTGGCGAAAAAATGAATTGGATCCCCCACGTGCAAAGCCAAAGCCTTAAACTAAGGACAACTGCAATAGCTCGACAAATGAAGATGTTCTATGGATTTAAATGGGGACTGAACCCCCACATACAAAAGGTGCTGTATTCCACAGTGGTAGAAAGAATAGTCACGTATGCTGCGGCAGTATGGGCCTACCCAATGCAAGGGAGAGAAAGGTTAAACACACCTTAATGCCATTCAACGACCCTTTGCATTGGGTATTACCCGGGCCTATCGCACCACTTCAAGCGACGCCATTAATGTGCTGGCAGGCTTACTCCCTCTTCACATCCGTGCTGAGGAGGAGGCGGCACGACAGCAAGTATTACAACTCAAAAAAATGGTCACATTTGATGAAGAAATTTACTCCCCTGAGGAGTATGAGGAAAGCTGCAACCCGTTGGATGTACACCCAGCGGCTAAAGGAAGAGGGGTATACGTCTCGGTGAAGCCTAAGGATAATAACCAGCCACTTGGCCTGACAGCTTACACGGACGGGTCAAAGTTGGAGGAGAAAGTGGGCTGTGCCTACGCCGCCATGAGGCAGGGGTTCATCATAGAAAAATGGAAGGGCCGGCTCAGACAAAACAACAGCGTTTTCCAAAGTGAAGCCTTGGCCATATTGCAAGCAATCCACTATGTACATTCCATAAGATGCAGGCAGGCCACAGTAAAAACTGACAGCTTGTCAACATTACATGCGATTTGGAACCCCGACCATCCCTCTGAAATTATTCAAGAGATACAGAAGGCCCTTAGAAATAATCCAAATTTTAAGATTACATTAGAATGGATAAAAGCACACGCGGGCCATGAAGGGAATGAAATGGCAGATCAGCTTGCCAAGGAGGCCACCACAGAAACAGCAATAGCAGAGACAGTTATACCATGGCCGCGTTCTTACTTCAAGCGTACGCTGAGATTGAAAGCCATGGGGAAGTGGCAATGTGAATGGGACGAGAGCAACACAGGGAGGAGGACCCATTACTTCTGTGGTTATGTGGACACAGACAGAAATATAGCAAACACGCAGCTCGCAAGGTTTATCTCAGGGCACGGTCCCTTTCCTGACTATTTCTACAAAACGTGGTTTCTGCAATACAAGTCAGTGCGCATGTGGAGGACCGGGCTCGCCAGAGCATTACTTGGAGACATGCCCGCTGACTGAGGGTCTCCACATTAGACTACCAGCCAATAACAGACAAGCCGTTCTGTAAATATCTGATTAAGCAACGGCACCTAATTAAAAAGATTGTGCAAGCTAATGGACAAATTAGCGGAACTCAATCTGGATTTGTGCCAAATTAGCTCCGTCACATAAACCGTATGTTATCCTCAAAATAAAATACCCTATGCAACTATAAGATTTAATTGTCAGCAGTAAAAATTATAGACCCAGAATCAATGAGAGTATTAAGAAAGTAAATATGTAAATAAATATAATAAGCTCGCGAGTAATACTATATAAATGTGCATGAGTCATACCTTCAACAAGCAATGCAAACAGAAATGTAGAGTGGTGCAAGCAAGCAATGTACAGTGCATCCCTCTCAAAGTACAACGCTACTATACATGTAAATATGCTCAGTGCAAATGTGTTTATTAAGCAAGCGTGTTAATAAAGTGTGTTTCCAAGTGTACTCCAATTTACTGGCACATAGCATTATCACATATGTACCCGAAAATGTGCACTGTATACTCGAAAATGTGCATATAGTGCACATAGGCCATCCTTAATATAAGAAATCTTATGCAATCATAAGGACCCAATGGTATCAGTAAAGATTATAAATCTAGTATTTAAGAGAATACTCAAGAATGTAAACTATGTAAATAGATTTCATAAGCATCGCTTGTAATATGTAATATGCTCCGCGTAATGTAAATATGTAAATATGATTGATGCAAAAGTATTAATCGAGTGCGTCGCAAATTGATTTCAGCATAAATAGTGCAAATATGTAATTAAGCCTCCTCAGTCTAGCAAGCAACATTACAAGTGTTGCCTCAATGTGGAAAGAAAGTTATGTAATGGTGTAAATATGTAAATAAGTTTCTATTGATAGCAAGCACTATTACAGGTGCAAAAAGCAAACGTTCACAACAGGATATGAATATAAAACTGCAGCAAATAAGGGATGTGAATATAAACTGCAGCAAATAAGTTTAGCAGGAACCCGAGGATGGACGACACTATGAATGTCTCAAAGCTTATAACACATGAACTACTACCAATGAACCGAACTAATAAACAGAAATCCAATGACTGTACTATATGTATCAGTAATTACAGACAACTCATATGTAATAATCGAATAACAATGTAACAAACAGAATTATAATGTACTAGAAAGCAATATAATGTGCCAGAAAGAAAAATCTGTATGTAAAACCAGAAAATGCATGTAATCATATGAGTAGCCCTTGTAAGGCCATCTTATATTAATTTCTATGATTTAATAAATAACTGGGCCCGGGCGGTAGGATGGAGTGAGCTCCCGGGGGCAGTTTTGGTCAGTAGGACCGCCACCGGGGTGAATTAGGCGTTGGGTTTGGGCGCCAGGTGTGGGGCCCTTGTGTGGCTTCAGGGGTTGTTTTAGATAAAGGTGGACGTGGTGCTACACCAATTAACCTATGGTAGAGGGGTGGTGCCCACGTCCTCCGTCGCATGTCGCATGTCGCATGTCGCATGTGCAATGTATTTTTCCAGAAACTAAATTGCTCCTCAAAAGAATTTTTTGGCTGCGGAGGAAATCATTGAGGCTTTTAAAAGTAGTACAAAACTGTATATCTTTGACAACGAAAGATAGGAGGCTATTAGGTCTATGATTTTGAGGATCTGAGTGACACTCGTCATATTTTGAAATAGACACAGTAAGTGCTCGCTTTCAACTTTGAGAAAAATGGCAGTGTAATAACATAATTTATTAGCATCGCTAGGAAAAATTTATAATTGGTGGGAGGAATTTAAGTATGCGTTTCTAAATCGCATACTTAAATTTCGTGGGGATATTTTAGGCTTAAAATTAGCAATACGTTCACTAACCTAGGCAAATGTAGAATATTGAATAAACTGTCCTGCATGAACAGCTTAGAAATTATTGAGCGTGTTGTTGGAAAAAATCTGTGTTATTCGCTAAACATCCTTCATTATATGGTGTGACTTGAGTTTGGGGACTATTAAATAGAAGCTGAACTTTCTCCGTGTTTGTATTGGCCACCGCTACGTTCGCAAGTAAGGAAGGAATGTGTAATTTCTGTTTGCGTAGTCTGGGGGATGCACGCCCAAGACTGTTGTCATTAGTCGCTAAAGACTGAATGTATTTTGAGTATCGTGACTGAGCGAACAGATCACATAATACCTTGATCTCATTTTGAAGAGAATAAAGTTGTAATTTCAAGTCAGGCCACCTAGGTTTTGCAAGAATGTTTTTATTTTATTCTTTTCACGAATTTTTACGAGTTTAATCTTTGGAGAAAGTATATAAAAATTGGGGCAAAGTGTGGATTTGGATATATCTTTAAAAGTATTTGCTAGGGTTGAAGTTAAACGACAAACTGCCTTGTTAATATCATCACTGAATTTTATTTCAAGGGAAGGTAAGTTTCAAATTTAAAACCAAACTTGCCCGGATTTGTAGAGAACGAGTGCCGGTGAATTTTGATTAAAAGAGTTACAATTAAGGTGAATGAGTACAGGTTTGTGATTGGATCCACAGTCACGTGATGATTAAAAGAAATGTTTCGAAAAAGAGCCAAATCAGTAAATAGGGCTACCCGTGCATCAAAATGGGTTGGGCTATCCGGCGGAATCATTTGGGCGCACTGAGCCCATTTTAGGAAGCCACGAATATCAGGGTTGAAGCTTAATAACGTCAATACCGATGATGACAATTTAGGTCAACAGAGATGATGATACTCTTATAAATTGTAATGAGTTTATAAAAATCTTTTTCTGGAAATTTAACGCCTTTTCCGTGCAGTGGAGGAAGATAGGCAGAGGACACGACTAGGGACGGTTAATTTTGAATAAAATTTCGGTAATCGTTGCTTGAGTTTGCTCAAACTCGGGGTGTCTATTCTTCGGTATGAGGTATTATTTTTGATAAAGACTTATGTACCACCATAAAATATTTCACGAGAATCTGAAGCATGTCTGTTATTGCGATATGGACTATAAGATGCAAGCTTGTGAATTGTCCCCGGCTGGAGTTTGTTCTCTTGGACAAGGATTATATAAAAGCCCATCTCCTTAACATGGTGTCAGAGTTCGTGCATTTTGGGCATAAGGACATCGGTATTCCAGGTACATATTTTAGGTAATTCAAATCCTTCGAAGTATTGAATTTTAATACTTAAAGGAATCAGAAAATTAGAGAGATACGTAGCTCACAAAAATATGATACAAGGCATCAGCACCAGTGGGAACCACTGGTAGCTGAGACACAGCGTTTCTAAACTCCAAGAGAAGTTTGCTCTGGTTAATGCGAGACAAGTGGGAAATTGAAATAATGGGCAAAAGAATGTCGGTGCAAATTAAGGTGGAATTCGCTACTTGGGGGGGGCGACAAAATTTAGAATAAAGAATGCAGCCTACTGCAAACCTGTGAGGATACTAGAGTAAGAGACTTCGGGGCAGACTTTATTAGCACTCCGAAATGTGACAGCCAGTGGAGTATTTACATTACTCTTTTGAGAAAGACCAGCGATCAAACCGGATGGAGTATCGGATTTAGCAGTGAAAATTTTTGTTTTCGAAAATCTTGGGAAAGAACACCAGTTAGCAGCATGGGGACCTGTGTAGTTTGCGCACTTCATAGGCTTTGCGAATGGTTTCGGGTAGTCGTGGGATTTATACGGGCTTGCACATCGGACACATCGCTGAGAAAGGGTGCACACTTTCGAGGTATGGAAAACACCTTGGCGGTGGATTTTATTCTTGGGACTTTGGCGTTCGTCCATGGCAACCTTCTTAAAAAGTATAAAATTTTGTCAATTTTTGTATACATATATTGAGTTTGTAGAGTGAAGCCATGTTTAATATTGAAACTTCCATATAGCACATAGTAACATTAATTAATACAAAATTTTATATATTATAATCTGTGAAAATATAGGTATTTTATATCTATACTATCTATATATATATATGTAAGATATAAAAAAAATACGATGGCTTTGCTCTTTGCGAACCAGCATCCTTTAATTAATTTTCTGCAATTCAGCATCTCCCCTTAGACCATTACCTTCTAGAACATTCGCACCTATTACATAACCTCCTCATATGAATGCTGCGTCATAAGTTTTTCTACATTTTTCTAGAAGCTACACTGTTACATAACCTTTCATATAAATGCTGCGTCATAAGTTCTCCTACACAGATGCCTTCTCGCCTTCGTCGTGCTAACGCTTTCACTATGCTCCTCTTTCTTTGTTAGAACGTTATGACGTATTAAAGTTTAAAGTCAGTCGTATCTAATAGTTCAATTACTGAATAAGTTCTTTGATTAACTCCACCTGGAAAAAGTCATCTGCTATAAAATAAAATAAAGATATGTTTGCTGTTAAAAGTGAAAAGTCCTGAGTCGTCATTTTTCTCCATGCTTCAAACATCCCAGCTTCGTCAACCATCTGCCAGAACGTATAATGGAATAGCCTGACCATTCGCCCACGATGTGTTGGAATAACTGAATACATTACAGTTATTAATTAGCTGGTAGGATATATCCTCTACGTGAGAAAAAAAGCTCCTGGATTTATTTCTAACGCGCTTCTAAATTCAACAGTGGGTCAAGGACAGTGTGTGATCGTCTGATGCTTTTGCTTCTTTTCCGGCGATGTTTAAGTGTTTTAACCTTTCATATAAATGCTGCGTCATAAAAGTCATCTGCTATAAATTAAAATAAAGATATGTTTGCTGTCATCTGCCAGAACGTATAATGGAATAGCCTGACCATTCGCCCACGATGTGTTGGAATAACTGAATACATTACAGTTATTAATTAGCTGGTAGGATATATCCTCTACGTGAGAAAAAAAGCTCCTGGATTTATTTCTAACGCGCTTCTAAATTCAACAGTGGGTCAAGGACAGTGTGTGATCGTCTGATGCTTTTGCTTCTTTTCCGGCGATGTTTAAGTGTTTTACCTCACCTTAAAAGTTATGCGT